AGCACAGGACCTGGCTTTCACCCAGGACCAGAGTAAGTATATTTTTGAAGCAAGAGTGTGTAGAAGTTGGATTAAGTGGCTATATCTGTCACAGCTGGCCGTGACAACCTGTGCTGGTCTAATACCCAGGAAAGGATACTGGTTTCCTGGTTTGGTGCTCTGGGTTTTGATCCCAAGGGAACAGAAACGGCTGGGGTAAGTTGTCTTATGCCTCTGAGGCTATTTCCTCCTTTGCAAACATAATCACACCAACTTTTCAGGGTTGGTGAGAGGATCCAAAGACATAAGCTGTGTCCGATATCTATTCTGTATCTGGCACGTGCATAGTAGGTGCCCAATAAATGTTCACTCATTGCCTGGGTAAAGCAAAAGCTCATTCTCACTAGTTGAGAACAAAGCCTCTTCCTTCCTTGTACAGTCAGAAGCATTTTGACCTGCTGGCTTCTCTCTAATCACCAGGTTCAGCTCTAGATTTGAGGATCCGTGCTACATAGGTTGATGTTCAGACTTACTGAAGAAGGCTGCACGCAGGGGTACTTGAATTTGGGGGAGCAGTCTGGTCAGTATCCCTCTGACCTTTTTGGGGGGTACTTCCTTCTCACAGATATATTGGAAGGCAGGATGGTTCCTGTGCCCCACTTCCCATTGTGGAAACAGACAAGGGCAGGTTCTACCCAGCATTTGGAACCTGGAGTGAAGGAGAGCGTTCAGTGGAGGATCAGAGTCATTTATTCAGGCCCTGAGCCTGCCCATTTCTTAACCCAGCCCTTTGTCTCCTGCTGATTCTGTGGGCACCCCAGGTCTTTTCCACAAGTCCCTTTCCGTGTGGGATAATCGATCAGTTGCAAATAAGAACACTGGTGTTACACAAGATCTCAGATCAATGCAGAGAGACTTCAAAGGGTGCTGAGATGGCAGCAGTTGCTAAAACAATGGGAGGAAGCTGGCTAGGAAAGTGACCTGGCACAACCTCAGGACAACCCTGTCCTCCTGGCAGCTGGGTAGTGGGTGATTCTCTCAGGCACAGAAACTGTCACCTCCAGGTGGCAGGTGAGCTATTATTCATTGGTGTATATAGTTTTTTTTTTTTTTGGGGGGGGGTAAGTGTTACATATCCTTTCCAGTTGTGTTATAAACTCTTCAAAGCTAAAGCTTCCTTTTTCATCTCTTAGGCAGTCATAGAAGCCACAGAAGATTATGTGATTTAGCTTCATATACTAAAGCATCAAATGTCCCAGACAAATAGAAACATCTCAGAGAAGACCTAAGAAATGGGCCAATCCCCAGCCACCCTTTCCCAGGTGTGCTGCTTTGCTGTAAGCCCGTTTTCCCTACACAGGAGGAATGCTCAGTATCTGCTTCGTGCAAACATTTCAGAGGTTGGTGAAATCATCCCTTGGCCTTCCCTTCCCTGAGTACCACCGGAGCCCACAGGTCCTGGTACTCAACAAAAAGGGGAAGAGTGTCTGTGCCTACGTTGTCTGGGTAGTGAAGGCTGTGGCTGCATTTTGAGAGGTCTTAGGAACTTTCTAGGTAAGCCGGAAATCTTAATTTTATAAAAGATGGCAACTAATTTGAGTTTTAAAATCCATGAGCCAAAAAAGCACGTTGCAAGCCGATCTTCTCTGGTGGACGCTACCTGTTGGCACACTCTACCTCGACCTGCCCAAGCCCAGTCTGCAGCCTTGGGGCTTGTCCTCGGTTTTCACCTTACACCTGGATGCTGGGAGCCTGTCCATGCTTCGTCTGCCCACTCTGGCTCTGCCTTTTCCTCAGGAGGACGCCCATGTCCCCTTCTAGGTCATGGTCCTGGTACCCTGATCCGGGAAACCTCCAGAACCTCCCACCTCCTAAGAGCAGCCCACACCTGGTGTGGACACCTTCAGGCCTGAAGGATTGTCAAGGGATGACTGTTAGCAGGCTGTGTCCTCATGAATGCGATGCATCCCTCTTTGCAATGGGATGCAGTGGTGCGGAATCAGGGCCAGGACTACCAGCCAGGGTCTTGACTGTACAATCAGTAGGGTTGTTCTTTTTGTCACTGTCCTGCCCTGTCGGGCTACACAGTCGCTATTTAACTCGGGTCCAGCACTTTTTAGTGCATTGTGCGCTCTTTTGACTTTTTGTTTGTTTGTTTTCCGGTACCGGGAATCGAACTCACGACCTTGCGTTTGCCAGGCAGGTGCTGTGCCACTGAGCTAAACCCCCAACCCCTTGACTCTTAAACTAACTCTGAAGATGCTCACAGCAGCAGCCCATTTTACAGGGTGAGGCACCAAGTCATAGAGGAGCGCAGTAAGCAGCACAGGGCTAGTGAGTGCCCGAGATCGATCGATCTGTAAGAGCGGACTGTCTCAATGACCAGCCCACCCCCTCTGGATGGCGCTAGGAGCCGGGTGGGCATGGGAGCAGGGGACCACCCCCCTCACTTGCCTGCCCGGGTCTGGCCTCCGCGGTGGTACAAGGAAGGTTCCCCGGGTCGCCAGTGACTGCCTCCCAGCTGCCCGGCCTCGCGCGGCCCCAGCCCCCGGGCCGCCAGGGGGC